TTTTTGTTTCGTGAGAATGTGATGGATATAATCTTGGTTGTATCTCAAAATGTTGGCAGCTCTAATGTTTATCTCCGTCAGGATAATTTGCTTCTATTGGAAATATTCCATTACATTTTTATGGGTCAGGAGCCAGAGTTGATTGTCCGGGGCCATTCGAATGGATTGAAGGTAACCTCACTCAACTTCACCAACGTAATATTTTAGTGGACCTCCCCAAAATCACCCTACTAATTTAGATTTTTCTTTCTAAAATGTGTTTCATCAACATGGTTTATAAGGTTTTTGTGGATGTTACCTCTCTTGTGTGTGCTGTTATATATCTTAATTATTATTCTTTGGCTGTGTTTTGTTTGGTCACTTACATTTTGTAGAGTTTTTTTCAGGTTGAGGAAGACTCCCAAGCTTCTCTTGATAGTCTCCAGTCTATCATGGAGGAAGAAAAGAAGAAAAGAGTTATCAATAGGCTTGGCAATATCAGTCGGCATTCACAATTCAGTGGAACATTTGCACGGGTTACCATGGTACTAATTTTTCACCCATTGGACTAGTTTTTTTAATGCTGTGGACTTGAATGACACTAGCCTATTATTTTTTGGTAGGATGGTTCTAAAGCCGTGTTTAAGGGGAATCCTAATTCTTCCCGTAATATGCATCTTAAATCAAAAAATGTCATTCGAGGTCGAGCCAAAAAAATTGCGTGGGATCATCCAAGGTTGCCTTCAACAAAGGACAAGATCTTGGAGATGCTGAAAGGATTTGTAAATCAGTTTCTTTCTGGGGGATACAACGGTATGAATTTTCAGAATACGGTGTATCATTTGCGATGTGTGTGTATAAGTAGTCTCATTGTTAGTTAAATCTTTATCAGTTTTGATGCGATCGGTCCGTGAAGATATTGTAAAGGAACATCCTGCAATTCAGAAAAGTGACGTTGTTGTTTTCTTTCAAGTGGCCGACTTTATCTCTTCATTTCAGTTTCACAAGTATTCAACTTCAAAGGTGAGTATAAAAATATGAACACAGTACATCTCTTGGCATGCCTTTCTCTGTTCCTCTTTCAAACTAAAGTACTTCTTTCCACTCCTCGTGGATTTCTGATACAACTACATATTAAATTTTGATATAGAATCCCCTCACATTTCTGTTTATTTTTGCATTGCTTAGCTTTTAGCAGTATGCAACCGAAGTGAATTTCTGATTTATTCATTCAAGTAGTTGCAATCCTCACAGCATGTTGAAGAAATTTTTTCATATAATGGTTGTCTGTACTTACAGTTTCTCATACAATGTGGGTATCAGTTTGTTTCTGACATTATATATCCTTAATATATCCTTTTTCCCCTTTTCTCTAAAAGAAATTATATTTTGACTTTAAATTCGACAACAAATTAGAGGGAGCAGAGAGCAGAAAAAATTGCTTTTCTGTGCATAACACGCGCATTTCCTTTTATATATGTGGAATCACTCTTAAACTTATTTTTTTTCTTTGAATTATTTCTCATAGCCATATAAAAATCTAATCGAATACATAAATATCTAGATATAATATAAAACCACTCAATATATTGTTTCCACGCCTAAATTGTTTAGGTTATGATTGGGAGTATAGGAGGGGAGATGACGGATTTGGGAAAATTGAAGGAATGGCAGTCCCTCAACTTGAGCGAGGGGTCTATTTTTCTCTCAAATAAGGTGGAATTTCCCTCTTTTTCTCCCCTCTCCTATCCTCCCCTCCAAACTCCCCAATAGAGACTTATGGCTATGTTTGGGAGTTGGGTTTTGGAGGGAAATGGAGGGGAAGACTTGTTTACCATTCCTAAATTAAAAAAGTTATATAATATACTCCCTCCGTCCCAAAATAAGTGTCGCATTTAGAAAAAAATTTGTCCCAAAATACTTGTCACTTTAGATTACCAATGCAATTTTATATTTAATCTTCCAATTGTACCCTCTAATAAATACTCTTAATTTATTGTTTTTCCACTTAACATTAATGCTAATTTGAATACACCAATGATTGATAAGGATAATTTGGTAAGGTCACTATTCTCTCTCTTTCATTTATTATTGTTTCTTAATATATGTGAAATGGTCAATTGCGACAAATAATATGAGATGGAGGGAGTATTATATATCCGTGAATATTAGAGTATAGTGGCAGCGAAGCATGTAACTGATTTGCCTACAATTAGCAAGACAGAATTACAGTTAGGAAGAAGTTGGTTACAAAGCTCTAGAAAACTCTAGAAGGTTCTTACAACCATATGATGAACTGTAACTGAGTATAACCAACTCAGTTCAGTTCAAGTCAAGTCATCTATAAATAGCAAGTTAGCTATTCTATTGTATTCAAGAATCATTTTCTGTTTAATACAATAATAGAATTACAAATTTTCTCTCTTCTAACATTCCTAAGATTAATTGTTATTCATCACTTCCATTTTTGTTAGTAAAGACAAATAAAAGGGTGATTAAGCTATAAGATTATATAATCATCTATCAGTTCATTCCTTCAAGTTTTAAAAATCTCAAATACGTTTCAACATAGAGACTACAAACACAACTCTCCCAAACCCTCCAATATCCCCCTATCAAACAGACCGTTAGAGGTTTTCTTCCTGTCACTTTCCTCCAATAAAATAGAATTTTAACATAAGGTAGATGGCATTTGCACTGTCTATGTATCATCAAGCCAAATAACTCTTGCACTGTCTATGTATCATCAAGCCAAATAACTCTTGCACTGTGGGGCTTGTAAGAGATGAAACATAAACTGGTTGTACGTTTTTACCTAACAGTTTATGCGTTATGTATATTTAGTTCACGACAGGATGCTAAATGTTAGAGATTATATACCTTAATTTGAGTTTGAAGTTAACTACATGTTGTTGTGTATCCTATTTTGGCATTATTCATGTGCTAAATGATAATTTTATAGAAGAATTTTGGCTGAAATATGGAAATCATATAAAAATAATTTAGAACATGATATCAGTTGCTTCTTTATTTGTAAATATCATATGTTTTAACTCTCATTTGTTAATCTAATCTACATTTGTAAGATGTTGTTTATACATATTTTCTCTTCATTAATAGACGGAGGAAGAAAAAGACATATCTGGTGATAATGATGCCAACGCTTCAGATTTCAGTGGTAAAATATGTGGCCCAATTGAGGCATCGTTGAATGAGTCAATGTTTCAACTGGTTATTTCACGTTGGCGGCAGGCCTATGAAGGTCTAAAGGAAACCAATGACTACAAGTTTCTATCTGCAGCTGGTTCTCTTCTGAAAAACATGGTAATACCAACTACCAAAATTCTATGTATTTGTTTTGTTATAATAAATATGCACTATCAGCTGGTTCTCTCTCGACAACCTTTCTATTCCTTCTCTTAAATCTGTACTTGGGCTCTTAACGGAGGTATCTAATGCTTTGCAAATCCTATCTCATTCTATTTTGATTTGTATTCCATGTCTTTCATTTCTCTTTATTATTATTTTGGTCAAATTTGCAGATCAGGACATTAATGCCTCTAATATATCCAGTTGAACATAGAAACACAGACAAGAACTCCACCATTGTTTATATTCTCATCAAGTGCTTCCTAATTGCTCTTTCTTTATTTGCAGATTCGCATGCTGGATTTAGTACTTAAGTCGTTGCCAGATGACTCAAAGGAGCCACAAACAGCCCGCATTCTTCTGTATAAATTATTTTATGATCAGACTGAAGAAGGGATGACTCAATTCCTCTTAAATTTGATCAAAACGTTTGACACACACAAACAATGCAAAAGGTTTTGCCTCTTTATTTGAACCAAGAAAAATTTCACATTATTTAACCATGAACATCTACGAGCTTCTTTTCTAGCATACTAAATTAATTTTTTAGCAGACATCCATATTTAGAATGATTGAAAAGCTACACAAAGGACATTTATGGATTGAGTGCTATATTTATGTCTTTATACAAGAATGAATTGCAGCATAACACCCTGGTTTGAGTGTGATAAAATAGATGAAAGCTATATGCCAAGATGCTTTGAAATAAGTTAATTTCCTTGCTGTCATAATCATGATTGTTCTTTCTTACAGTGATCTTGCAGATTTGGTTGAAATCATTTGCAAAGTCGTGAAGCTAATGGATTATCTTCAGTCTCGAGGAACATTAAGGGTAAGTTACAATTATGTGTTGGTGTGTGTCTATTCTATCTGTGTTCTTTCAACGATAAATTAAAAAAATAAAATAATGACAACGATGATGATATAACAACAAAAATAACACCAACAATAACCTTTACTTATATAGAGTCTGTCCAAATGACTACAACATGCAATGTTTTAATTGAATCATTTGCTATCAAAAGAAAATTCTAATTATTTACATATATTGCACAAGCATTTTTGAATCGAGTGTGATTTTATGGATGAGAATCGGTCAAAATTGTCTATCGGGGGTTTATGGCATTGTTTACACCAAGTTTAGTTCACACTAGACTTGTTTACCAAATCGACTAGGTCAATACCAATTCAAAATTCTATCTAGCAAAAAAGGGCCAAATTTAGCTATTGAAAAGCCTTTTGGACCTAATAAACTGTTTGTTTAACTATATAAATAATAAAATAATATTTGATTGTTTTTTTTTCTTGAAAAAAAATAATATTTGATTGTCATTACTAGTATGAAGGTTTTAAAGAATCTTTTAATCATTCTTATTGGCATGTTTAAGGATTTAAGATAATTGGTCTATATGAAGACATAAGTTTGTAACCTTATTTAATGATAAGTTAGTAGTAGTGGGGGAGCTTCTTAAGGACAGGGATGGCCATGCCAACACCAAACATCCCCAAAATTTCTATTTTTAATAGGTCAGTACAGACATATAATTTAAAGGTTAAATCAGTCTATATTATTTGTTCAGCTCAATATTAAAGTTTGGAATGTAGTGCAACAGCAAATGACTCCTTTTGTGAATATGAGACCGTTGATTTGAGTCTGTAACACCAATTTTTGTTTAATTGTTTTCTTTCACCAAAACTGCTGCTAGAAGAACTTGAACCCACACATCCAAGGTATAAAAGACACAAATTAACCACTACACCAACTCATGTTTTATGAAGTTAAATGAAACGTTTATATATATTCTATCTACGTTAAGAATGTAAGAAAGGAGAGAGATGAAGGAATTCTGTTATCGTATTTCATCACATTTTGTTAACAGTACAAGATTCCTATATATAAGGGAGAGATGAGGCTAGGTTATAACAAACCCTATGCCAGCTGTTCAAAGTAATTACTAGGAAAATAAGCCCTATAACAAGCTATATATATGTATCTCTAATAGTCCTCCTTAGAAGCTGAGGGTGCTTCCAGTAACTGTCTTTTGTTGACAACTCTGAGTTTGTTCCTCAGAGGAAGAAACTTCACAGCAGAAAAAGGTTTTGTCAGTGCATCTGCCCATTGATCCTGGGCAGACACATGAGCCACAATTAAGCTTTTATTTAGAACCTTCTCTCTCACAAAAAAGATGTCTAATTCCATGTGCTTAGTTCTGTTATGAAGCACAGGATTGTGAGCTAAAGTTACTGTGCTTAGGTTGTCACAGAGAATTCTAGGAATCTGAAATCTGCATTGAAGTTCATGAAGAAGAGATTGAATCCACAACAATTTTGCAGCCAATTGAGCCACGCTTCTATACTCTGCCTCAGCACTGGACCTTGCTACCAACCGCTGCTTCTTAGACCACCAGGAAATTAGGTTAGGACCTAGGAAAGCACCTGATGTGGATCTTCTATCATTTGGGTCTGCTGCCCAGTCAACATCAAAGAAACCCAGTAGGGATAAAGGCTGATGTTTGGGAGCAGGCTGAAGTAACAAACCATGATTTAGTGTGCCACTGAGATACCTGAGTATTCTCTTAACTGCTTTCCAATGCTCCTCCAAAGGATTTGACAGGAACTGGCACACTTTGTTAACAGAATAGGACAGCTCAGGCCTAGTTAAAGTAGCATACTGCAGGGCACCAACAATAAATCTGTACTGTGTAGGATCAACGACAGTAATAGAACCAAATTTAGACAATTTGCTGCTAGACACCATAGGGGTAGGCATGCCATTAACAGTAGCCATGTTAACCTTTGCAAGTAAATCAGTAATATACTTGGTTTGTGAGAGAATAAGAGATCCATTTGGCATATGAGTGACCTCAATCCCAAGAAAGTAGTCTAGTTGCCCTAGGTCCTTGAGAGCAAACTGACTATTGAGACTTTTGACTAGGCTGGCAATAAAGGATGGTGAATTTTCAGTGATGATTATATCATCCACATAAACCAGAATCAGAATGGTTAAGCTCTCACTGTGGAAGAAGAATAGACTGGGATCACATTTACTTGCCTTTAACCCATGCTGCACCAGAGAGCTCTTAAGTCTGTCGAACCAGGCCCTGGGGGTCTGTTTTAGCCCATACAGTGCTTTATTCAACTTGCAAACCAATGACCTATCAGCTGCTTCAAACCCAGGAGGCTGAATCATGTATACCTCTTCCTCAAGCACACCATTGAGAAGCATTATTAACATTAATCTGCTTAATTGACCATTGATTAGTAACTGCAAGTGTGAGCACTGTTCTAACTGTTATAAGTTTGACAACTGGAGAAAAAGTCTCAGTAAAGTCACTACCAGCCTGTTGATGGAATCCTTTGGCAACCAGTCTTGCCTTGTATCTATTAATGGATCCATCAGGGTTCTCCTTAACCCTAAAGACCCATTTGCAGCCAATGGGCCTTTTAGAATCAGATGGAGACACCAATGTCCATGTCAGATTCTTCAATTTAGGGCATGATACTCATCCTGCATAGCTTGAAGCCAGTGTGGGATAGTCAAGGCTTGTTTAACAGATGTGGGTTTCATATGAGTGAGAAAAAGTGTAGGATTGAGCCTAGGTTTGACAATACCACTGTTAGCTCTAGTTTGCATAAAGTGAACATTTTGAGGATAGAGAAGAGGAGGGATAGAAACAGGACTAGCAGTAGAATCAGATTGAGGTAAGGAAGAGGGAGAGATAGTGCTTGCTTCTGCTAGATCAGAAAAGATAGAATTAGGTAAGGGTGAACTAGCTGAGATGAGGATACAGGAGGTGAAACACTAGAAGTAGCAACAGTAGTAGCTGGAGAGTTAGTAGATGCATTCAGAGATTGTCCATCAGAGGAATTGCCAGCAGAATTAATGGGTGAGGATGGACTGTTTGAAGGAGTAACAATACGACTGACATGATTTAAGGGAGGGATATGATGGACAATAGTGGAGGGAAACCAGGACATGGCTGAGGGAGCATTAGAAGAAGTGCTGGAGGAGGAATTAGAAGGAATATGGGAGTTGGAAAAAAGGTTAGAATAGGGAAATCTAAACTACTGAAACATCACATCTTTAGAAATATAGATATGACCATCTGCTGCCAAACATTTATGTCCTTTATGGACAGTGGAGTAACCTAAAAACACACTCCTGAGATCTAAAAGCTAGCTTGTGTGAATTATATGGATGAAGAAAAGGGAAGCAAGCACACCCAAACACAGAGACTAGAGTAATCTGGTGACTGATGCATCAATTTGAAATAGGGAGACTTGTTTTCGAAGGAAGGACTAGGCAGCCTATTGATAAGATAGGCTGCGGTGACAAACGCATGGTCCCAATATTTAAGAGGCATTTTGGAATGAGCAAGTAATGCTAGACCCGTTTCAACTATGTGACAGTGTTTACACTCAACTATACCATTCTGATGGTGAGTATAGGGGCAAGTAAACTTGTGGATGATGCTCAATTCAGTAAGGTGTTTTGTGAGGGGTTTGAATTCACCACCACCATCACTCTGAACCGTTTTAATTTTGCAATTAAACTGAAGTTCTATCATAGATTTGAAGTGAAGAAATTGGGTGAGAGTGTCAGATTTCAGCCTAAGGGGAAACACCCAAACAAATCTAGAATGTGCATCAACACAGGTGAGAAAATAGGAGTAGCTGCCTGAGGAAAGAATAGGTGCAGGACCCCATAGGTCACACACAACCAGTTCAAAAGGGTGATGATAGTTTGTGTTGGATAGAGATGAGGGGAGTCTGTGAGTTTTGCCAAGGCAGCAGGCAGAACATAGATCAAGGGAAGGTTTGTGGGGGATAGGAATATTGCAGGTCTTCAGAACTTCTGTGAGGACATAATGATGAGGGTGACCAAGTCTTGTATGGCATAGAGCATACTTGCTGGTGGCTATAGGAGAATGACGGATCATGGAAGGATCTATGTTAGGAATATTAGAGTAAGAGACATTAGCATTAGAATTAAATGCACCGTGAGAATTAAGAGTATTTTTATTTATATGAGAAGCAGAATTACAAGAAGGAAACCAGTTGCAAGTAGCAGCTGTATTACAAGAGAAATTAGAGTTTGAGCTAAGCCTATTACAAGAACTAGGGCTAAGAGACTTGGACAGAGACAAGGGAGATGAGGCAGGATTGACAAATCTGTAGAGTCCATCAGCTCCAACAGTGCCACTAAGAAGAACTTCAGAAGAATCCTGCGATTTTATAAGGCAAAATTGAGGATGAAATTCAAAGAAAACATGATTGTCTTGTGCAAACTTGCTGACACTCATAAGATTCTTGGTGATATGTGGAACAAGCAGAAGGTTATCTAAGATTAGAGATGAATTGGAATGATTAGACAAAGGAAATTTCATGGATCCTACAGAATTTATAAACAAACCTTGACCATTTCCCATAAACACCTGTTCTGCACTAGACAAGGAGGAAGCATCAGACACATTTAAAGCATCATGTGTAACATGGTGAGACGCACCTGAATCAGGGTACCGCCACTGATTGTTGAAGCTAGGGTCAGATCCTGCTAGAAATGCCCGTGGTTGCTGCTGCCTGGGTGGTGTTGGCCGTGGAGCCGGAGGATATCCAAAGGATGGATGGAAAGAGGGACGTGGAGCCATTGTGTAGGGATTGAAGGGAGCTCGTGGAGTTGAGTATGAAGGTGCTCCAGAGTAAGTGTAACGATGATAGCACACAGAGGCATCATGCCCACGTTTGTGGCAAATCTGACACGAAACCTTGCCAAAACGGCCACCACCGCGACCATAACGACCATCACCACAACCATATCTTCCTCAACGAGAGCCAGTGATATGATTTTCAGCATTAGCAGTCACATGATTTGTACCAGTGGGAAATTTAGAGTTGAAATCAGAACCTGAGTGCTCAGTTGAGTGCGACACTGAAGACGATGGAGCTTGAACCATATTAACAAATACCAGTTCAGTAATCACATCCTTGCGATTCTTCTCAAGTCGCGATTCATGCACAAGGAGACAAGAGTCAAGTTCATCAAGAGAGCACAGGTCGTCTTTACTGTTAATCACAACAACAATAGGATCATAATCCTCAGAAAGAGCATCGAGAACTACCTCAATGAGATTACAGAGAGGAATTGGATCTCCGATTTCGCTGATGTCACGAACGTGAACCACAAACTCAGCAATGGAACGCGAACCTTTCTTCAGGTTGCGAAGATCAGATCGCAACTGTCGCGCCTTGGTGGTGAGCAGAGTATTGAAGTAACGGTGAATTTCCGACCATACTTGCCACAAATACGTGCAGTCGACGAGTTTCGGAAGAAGAGAGTTGGAAATCGTGGAGTAGCCAGGTGCAGATAAGTGCATCCTGCTGTTCCCAATCAAGATAATCTGGATTTGCATCGCCAGTGATTGGATCAGCGCCGGGAAGAAGACGCGGTGGAATGCACGGTGCAGTAACGAACTGTTGAAGACGATGACCACAAATAACGCCTTCGGTTTGCTGTTTCCACTGTTTGAAATTCTTCTCATCTAATTTGATGGAGATGAGATGTGAGAGTTTCACATGAGATGAAGGAAAAGCACCTTCAGTGCTGAAAGGTGTCGCCATGGAAGCGCTTAGATCGAGAAAATAGCTCTGATACCATGTTAAGAATGTAAGAAAGGAGAGAGATGAAGAAATTCTGCTATCGTATTTCATCACATTTTGTTAACAGTACAAAGGATATGAGGCTAGGTTACAACAAAACCTATGCCAGCTGTACAAAGTAATTACTAGGAAAATAAGCCCTATAACAAGTTATATATATATGTATCTCTAATAATCTAAATTCATTATGGCCCCCAAATAAACTTAGTCAAGCTCCGCCACTGAGGTTATGGTCTATTTAATGTCTCTTACAAATTAGACTTGTTTTCAGGTGTGATGGTAAGTTTAACAATGTCATATCATCCTGTGGAAATAGGTTATTAGATACTGAAACCAGACTCAAATCTGAGTATATGATACATGCCAGATTTAAGCTTTAGAAACTTTGCCCAGCTTGACTCATATCTATTGCCATTTATTTGTTGTTTCTTTTCTATGCAAGGTTCGAACCCAACCCACCATACCAGTGTTATTTACTATATTATTAGTATGAACTTAAACTTTCTCTGTCACTCGCTTTAGCTTTCTATTCATTTTTTATGTCCATTTTGGTGACAATTTTATTATTTTACTCTTCCCTTCTCTGACTCTGTCCACCTCTCCCTCTCTTCCTCCCATTTGTCTTTTTCACACTAAGCACGTGTTACCAAGACATTCTTTTTCACATTTCATCCACTGTACTTATTATTTACATCTGCTATCTTTTTTGTCACTTTGTATGATAGATACAAGCTACATAGAGACGAGGCACTTTGGTATTGTTTTTTTCGTTCTCATTTTTGTCCTCTATATTGGAAATTGTTTGTCCCTTGCTAAACTTACATCCTATATACTCTACTTTATGCCTTCTTAGGCGAAAACCATGTGTTTTCAAGGCTTGTCGGTATTCTATCATATGCCTTTTCTAAAGTTTAGCCTAAATACACCAACTTTTGCGGACCCAACTCTCTCTTATATTTAGGACTTTATGACTCATAAGTTTAATTACTCTGTAATCTGCACAATTATGCACCCATCCTTTTGCCGTTAAAGATAGGGATTATAGTACTTTTCCACCATTAGTCATATTCTTAGACTTCATAGTCAAGGTTATCTAATCAAGGAAAGAGATTGTGTAATTATATCCTTAGAAATTTTGCAAATACGTTGCAATCTTTGCCAGAGCTTGTCACATGGAAATGTTATTTTTTTCATGGTTTCCATAAATATATTTGAGAATAGAGGAAAAGTGAAAGAAATAAAAGAAAACTTTTGAAGTAAAACAAATAGAATATATATATATATATATATATATATATATATATATATATATATATATATATATATATATATATATATATATATATATATATATATATATATATATATATATATATATATGCGCTTTCAATTCAATCATTTAAATTTGTTTCTTTGTTTTATGTCCTGTAATTCAAGGTGTCAAAAAAAGCAAGGAAATTGAAAAAGAAAACTTCCAATGGACCAGAATCAGGGAATAAACCAACTGGAGATCATTCTTGTGTTAATAAAGAAGCTGGCATTTCTATTGACAATCCTTTAGGTGAAAACCATTTGCTACAAAAGGAATCCCTACCAAATGTAATCTCCACTGATCAAGAGGGCATCCCTGATGATAATGAACATGGAAGTCTCGAGAAAGATGTGAACTCTCAAGTTCACTTGGAATCAATGGAAAACAAACATCTTGATGATAATGAAAACAAAAATGCCAAGGGAGATGTGAACTCCCAAGTTCCTTTGGAATCAATGGAAAACACACATCTTGATGATAATGAACATGAAATTGTCAAGGGAGATGTGAACTCCCAAGTTCGTTTAGAATCAATGGAAAACACACATCTTGATGATAATGAACATGATAATGTCAAGGGAGATGTGAACTTCCAAGTTGGTTTGGAATCTGTGAAAAAGACAAATCTTGATGATAATGAACACAAAAATGTTGAGGAAGATGTGAACTCCCAAGTTGGTTTAGAACCAATAGAGAACACAAATCTTGAACATCTTAATGAGGATATGTTGGATGACACTGGTGATTTTTCTGAAGAAGAGCAATTAAATACAACTAGTGAAGTTGATTTCAATGTTTCAACGCTTGTTTCCGCTTTTGCAAATCACAGCATCATTCAGAAATTATGTTGGTTGCTCAAGTTTTATAAAAGCAATTCCCTTGCTATAAATCATTACATAATAAGCATGTTGCGGAGAATTAGTGATGAGCTTGAACTCCATCCCATGCTCTACCAGGTTTGATCTGGAAATAATTTCATCATCAATGAAATCATGTAGTTGTTTATGAATGTGAATAACATTTCTAATCTTGTGAACATATTCTTGTAGTTGTCGCTGCTCACAACTTTCTATGATATTCTTGCTGAACAAAAGTCATGCCCCTGCAAGGAATATGCAAGTATTGTTGATTTCCTGAACAGTTTGGTCAGAAAGATGCTAAAGAAAATGAAAAAGCAGCCCCTCCTATTTGTTGAAATTCTTTTCTGGAAGACCCGAAGGGAATGCCATTACATCAATGTAGAGTATATGTTGGATGAACTTGGCCATTTGAGAAAAGGAACTAAAAATTGGAACAATACTCAAGGAGATGGAGAAATTGGTTCCTCCCCTGTGAAGACGCAGACTCGTAGAAGTATTGCTGATGCACTTGGTGATGATGAAGCGGATGTTGTGATATCTCATGAATCAAGATATCAAAAGTAAGATAAGCTTATCAAACTTGTTAAGACTCTCATGTAAAATTCCCCGGCGTTTGGGTTTTGTTTTTCTGAGAGCTAGATGTCCATTTTTAGAATGTGGGGCCAGTTTTCAGTTTATGCTTAATTGATCCATAGTTTATCTAGTAAAGATACTGCAATGGGACTAGTATTTTTTTAATTTTTATTTCAGCAATGGGGAAAAACTTGATGATGTTGAAGGCTTTGCTTCTACATCAGGCCGTAAGAATGGCAGAGATGCTAACAAGTACGTTTAAACCTTGAGATCAAAGTTTATTTAGATTTTATAGTTTCTGATACTTGGCTTACTTGGATAACAGTGGGGAGCCATGGTTGGAAGATGAATCTCAAACAGCTCCGAGAAGAAAGAAAAAACTTGTTCTAGATGCTGAATTGGAGATGCAAATTAAGAATCTCTATGAGAAGTAGGTTTTACCTGCTCAAACCATTGGTGCAAACATAATGAGTCACAATAATAAATTAGTTAATTTCTTGTCAGTTTTTTATTTTATTTTAATTTTGTCTTGTTTATAAGATTAGCATTCGTTTTGATAATCAGTTCTTCTATGCCTTAAATATATCAGATTCAAAGATGACCGAAATTGTAGTCGACTTATTGCTGAAGAACTAGATCCAGATGGTAAAATTTCTCCAGCTCAAATATCCAACAAATTGAAAAAACTAGGGCTAACAATTGCTTCGAGGAAAAAGAAGGGTGATGCTAATGAGACTTTCTCAACAAGCCCTAATCAATTAGAAGGTGGCGGAGTAGCTGAAGCTGTGAATTTAGAGGGAAGCCTGTTGGTTCAGCATCGGTGAGTTATAGAATGAACTGCAATGCTTATTAAACTACTATTAGCATTTTTTCCACAAAATATATATTTCCTCCTTGATTCAAAAGTTTCAGAATCATTGCTCATCCTAATTCAACAATTTGCTTATACTCATTGTATTAAATGTCATGGTATTCTCTAAGTTTGTGTTCAATTCCATATTCATAGGCAGAAAAGAAAAAGAGTCAGTGCTTTCAGTGAAGAAATATATATTTCCTCCTTGATTCAAAAGTTTCAGAATCATTGCTCATCCTAATTCAACAATTTGCTTATACTCATTGTATTAAATGTCACGGTATTCTCTAAGTTTGTGTTCAATTCCATATTCATAGGCAGAAAAGAAAAAGAGTCAGTGCTTTCAGTGAAGATCAGGAAGCCCGTATCAAAGTTCTATATGAGCAGTAAGTACTTAACTTGGTTGCTTGGTAGAGCACTGAATTTTCTCTCTCTGCTCACTTCTTGATGAATGCTGAATGAATAGTTAAAAAATAACATGTTTTCTGAATATTTTTGTGAATTATAGCCCGTGCTTTTCCTAATAATATCTGGGATGTTATTTTGGCAGATTCAAGGACCATAGAAGATGTAGCTATATGATAGCCAATGCACTGGACGTGGATGGTAAATTCACACCTGCCCAAGTCTCTCGAAAACTTAAGCAACTTGGCTTATATGTTCCGCAAAAGAGGTCTAGAGGAAATATCCACCCAAAGGGGGAGGATCTTATGGATTATTCTAAGGATGGAATGGATGAATCTGACGATGAGCCATTGGTATCATTGATAGAAAGGTAATGTTGCATTACTTAATTTTATACAAATTGCGATATTAATACTTGGCCATTTATAAAATTATATTACTTAATCACCATGCAGAATTCATTTCAAAACATCATATATGCACATTTTTTAGTTGATTTTATTCTTCAATTTTATACATAGATATAATACACTTGTTCTGAATTTCACTTTTTTTAAAATGCAACTTTTTGTGTACCCTGCTGAATGAGTCTCTCCTTTTTTCTCCCTTTAATTATTGTTTTATTTAATTTTAGGAAAAAAGTGAAGAATGGAACAAAATCAAGCAAACCATTACATGAACAGACCAATGAGGATAAGCTGTCAAAAGATGATTCTGATGATGAAATACTTGGCTCCATCCTCAAGTAATGTCCCCTTTACTTCCTTTTCTGGGACCAGTAGTTTACTGATAATGATGGGATCTTAAATGTTTATATTAAGAATATAGTTTGAACTGGCGATTCTTCATTTTTCTGCTTCTATCTATTCAAGATCTGTCTCTCCTTCTTTTTCATCCCTTTAATTATTGTTTTTATTTGATTTTTAGGAAAAAAGGGAAGAAAAGAAAAGAATCAAGCAAACAGGTACATGAACAGACCGGTGAGGATAAATTGTCAAAAGATGATTCTGATGATGAAATACTCGGCTCTATCCTCAAGTAATGTCCCCCTTTACTTCCTTCTCCAGGATTGGTTGTTTAATGATAATGATAGGACCATAAATGTTTTATATTAGTAATTTAGTTTGAACTGATGATTCTTCATGCTTCTGGTTCTATTCTACCATAGACCTCCAGTCTCTGTATCTACAATTTTTCTTCAGAATTAACTAACGTTTTTTTTAATTAGGAAAAAGAAGAATAGATCTGTATCTGGTGAACATTCACATAAAAATACCAATGATGGTGGATTGTCTAGATACGATTCCGAAGATGAAATTCTTCAATCTGCACTGAAGTATTCTATTCTTCATCTTTTCTATTCTAGTTCTACTATAGACCTCCTGTCTCTGTATCTACAATTTATTTTCAGAATTAACCGTGTTTTTTAATTAGGAAAAAGAAGAATAGTTCTGTATCTGGTGAACATTCACATAAAAACACCAATGAGGGTGAATTGTCTAGATACGATTCCGAAGATGAAATTCTTCAATCTGTGCTGAAGTAAGTATTCCATTCTTCATCTTTTCTATTCTAGTTCTACTATAGACCTTCTGCCTCTGTATCTACAATTTTTTTTCAGAATTAACCAACGTTTTTTTTTTAATTAGGAAAAAAAAGAATAGATCTGTATCTGGTGAACTATTACAAGAAAACACCAATGAGGGTGAATTGCCTAGATACGATTCCGAAGATGAGATTCTTCAATCTGCACTGAAGTAAGTATTCCCTTCATCTTTTTTATTCTAGTTCTACTATAGACCTCCTGCCTCTGTATCTACAATTTTTTTCAGAGTTAACTAATATTTATTTATTTTTAATTAGGAAAAAAAAGAATAGATCTGTATCTGGTGAACTATTACAAGAAAACACCAATGAGGGTGAATTGCCTAGATACAATTCCGAAGATGAGATTCTTCAATCTGCACTGAAGTATTCCCTTCTTCATCTTTTTTATTCTAGTTCTACTATAGACCTCCTGCCTCTGTATCTACAATTTTTTTCAGAGTTAACTAATATTTATTTATTTTTAATTAGGAAAAAAAAGAATAGATTTGTATCTGGTGAACTATTACAAGAAAACACCAATGAGGGTGAATTGCCTAGATACAATTCCGAAGATGAGATTCTTCAATCTGCACTGAAGTATTCCCTTCTTCATCTTTTTTATTCTAGTTCTACTATAGACCTCCTGCCTCTGTATCTACAATTTTTTTCAGAGTTAACTAATGTTTATTTATTTTTAATTAGGAAAAAAAAGAATAGATCTGTATCTGGTGAACTATTACAAGAAAACACCAATGAGGGTGAATTGCCTAGATACGATTCCGAAGATGAGATTCTTCAATCTGCACTGAAGTATTCCCTTCTTCATCTTTTTTATTCTAGTTCTACTATAGACCTCCAGCCTCTGTAACTACAATTTTTTTCAGAGTTAACTAATGTTTATTTATTTTTAATTAGGAAAAAAAAGAATAGATCTGTATCTGGTGAACTATTACAAGAAAACACCAATGAGGGTGAATTGCCTAGATACAATTCCGAAGATGAGATTCTTCAATCTGCACTGAAGTATTCCCTTCTTCATCTTTTTTATTCTAGTTCTACTATAGACCTCCTGCCTCTGTATCTACAATTTTTTTCAGAGTTAACTAATGTTTATTTATTTTTAATTAGGAAAAAAAAGAATAGATCTGTATCTGGTGAACTATTACAAGAAAACACCAATGAGGGTGAATTGCCTAGATACAATTCCGAAGATGAGATTCTTCAATCTGCACTAAAGTATTCCCTTCTTCATCTTTTTTATTCTAGTTCTACTATAGACCTCCTGCCTCTGTATCTACAATTTTTTTCAAAGTTAACTAATGTTTATTTATTTTTAATTAGGAAAAAAAAGAATAGATCTATATCTGGTAAACATTTACATGAAAACACCAATGATGGTGAATTGTCTAGATACGATTCTGAAGATGAAATTCTTCAATCTGCACTGAAGTAAGTATTCCATTCTTCGTCTTTTCTACTCTACAGATCAATTTACAATAGGACCATGAAATGTGTATATCAGGAAATTAGTTTGAGCTTTTAATTTTTCCTGCTTCTCCATATATCTGCTCCTACTTAAAAAAACTATCATCAATTCTTCCATTTATACATGTTTAGTCTATTAGAATTTTAAAAAAATCATGTTCTGCCGTTTATTTTTCCCCCTCTGTTACACTATCTTTAGAGCATTCGCCATTTTTAACAAAACAGACACTGTATCAAGCTTTTTGTATTTTTTTAAATGTTTTTAGCTGATTATTTTAATGGTTGAATCAAATGGCATTTGCAGTGAAAATCAAGTAGGTTTTAAGAATTCCCAAGTAGAAAATAAGCAAGTGGATCCTGACTTGGAAGATTCAGAGGATGATGTGGCTGTTAATGTACTTCCTGACAATGCTGTATCAAGAAGAAAGCTGAGAATGGTGATGGATCTTGAGGACGATGACTGATGTTAAAGTATGGTTAGGATGCTGGTTGATTCCTTTATACTTGATTGTTTGCTCTCAACTTGTACAAATATTATGTATTGAACTGATTATTTAAGATTTGATCCTTTTGTGTATAGTTGGTTTTGTTGTAATTTCTCAAACAGCGCAACAACCTTATAAAAGTTATTCTCCTATATATGAACACATTTGCGTGTGGATCGAGAGTATGAGAATTGAATCATAGAAGAGAAAGAAAAGGATACTTTTGTTTGCTTGGCACATAAACGATAGTGAAGAGTAAGCTGTTCATGGTACGGTTTTGGAAGAAAGTTGAACCGTGCCAACAAATTCGTTTGAACTGAATCAAATTGTTTTAATTTGTTCAGAATTGAACCAAATTGCATATAGTAAAAAATTCGTTTGAACTGAATCGAATTGTTTTAATTTGTTCAGAATTGAACTGAACTAAAATTATTAGTTTGGTATGTCATTTCAAAATTTTAAATTATATCGAACTGTTACTAGATGATTTTTTCCAAATCGATCTTGTAAACACATGGATTGTGAAATTAATATTTGCAGCCGTATAAAAACTGTCATTGAAAACTAATTGTTATATGAAAGAAAAAAAAAGAATTATTTCGTTTATATACGAACAAAAAAAATAAGCGGAAATGAGCTTCCTTATTTTAATTTGCTCACTATCCTTTATTTTTACCTGTACTGTTATTAAAATTTAGATTTTATTTTGAAAAATCATTTAAATTTTAGGGACTGTCTTTTATTTTTGCTTACCATCAGCGAGGACTATATAATAGATAAAAATATTTATTCTTAAAATTATATTTTCAAAAAAATAAATAATCAAAACGATTTTTTTTTGCTATAATCAGATATTGAAATTTTTTTATCGCAAATAACCATGTTTCAGAGAAAACTACGCAAATAATTATATTTCAGAAAACCTCACAAAGGAAGAACCAAGTGAGATGACGCATCCATTTGTCCTACGCGCCATCTCACTTGGCACATCTCTTTTAGTCAAGTGAGATGGCGCATGCACTCTAAAAGTGAGAGGAGACGCCATCTCACTTGGTTCCTAGAACAAAATGCATTTTTTATAAATAATTCTTCTGTTTCACCGTCATTCTTCACACTTTCTCGTATCATATTCTTATTTTTTTCTCTGTTATTTGCGTAATAACATCTCTCATGATTTTTACCAGAGATGATTACGTTATTTTCTCGGCCACCAAACCTCCGATGAAAATAAAATTTTGGCACATTCACTCCATGGAGCGTCTGAAGAGAGTTAGTGCGATGACTAAGGAAGACATCGAGGATGGGGAACAAATTAGAAGGATCTAGCGAAGAAAAACAACCACCTCACTTGCAACAGGAAGACCTAATTTTTGGTTGGAGGAAGTCAAAACAGACAGCGACATAATGTTGATGATGCATGGGTCAGATGAAATTGTTTTAACGATTGTAATTTTGTAGACGTTTTATCATGTTTTATTAGTTGTTTGCGCAATAACAAATGCTCTTAATGAAAAACTGTAATGTTTATAACTTAAAAAAGTAAAGATGTTTTGTAATACAATTTTTATGTGGTTGAGCTAGGAGCCCGAATCAGACAATTTTTGCGATTGTGTCCGACCCGACAACATAAACCACACTTTCTTTCCAGCTTGTCAAAGGAGTCCATTTCAGTTGTGATGCGCTTGCTTTTGGGATGACCCTTTTTATTCTTTCGCATTTGGTCATTGTGCCATACTATTTCGCCGTCGTATGCAGGCCAATAATCAGGTTTTGCTACCAAATGGAAGTTGTTGTTGTATACGTTGAGCAAAGTTTCAGACTTGTAAATGGGAGACAGAAGTTGTAATGCGTCTTGATGGATATAAGCACACGCATCAATGACATGAGAGCAAGGCATACGAAAGGCTTGAAACTTACCACAATCGCACCAACGAGAAGGTAGTATAACCCTATACTCTTGTCTTGGCAGCCCCTTGTTGTGGTCGATTGTCTCTTTGACAATGAAGTTGTGGCTGTGTCGGTCGAACCGTATAACCAGATGGGTGTTGGCTTTGGCACTTTCTGCCTTAATATACTTCATGCGGCTTTCACTTCATAGTTGTCCCGATTGCAACATAACATTCCACATTTCACCTCTTTTGGCAAACAACGAAGCCATCCTAAAATATGTTGATTTAACCAAAGCAGTTACTGGGAGGTTTCGTATGCCTTTGAATACCACGTTCATGGATTCAATCAGATTTGTTGTCATGTGGCCCCATCGTTGTCCATTGTCGTATGATCTAGTCCATTTCTCAACCAGAATGTTATCGATCCACCTACCGGCATCCGGATTTGACAATCAGATCTCGTTGCGATAATATTTGAACGTAGGTTGTGTTAATGTATACCCTACATTCATAATCGCTTTCCTAAGAGCTTTGTCTTTAATCTCCCTCATGAAATTTTGGACAATATTTCTAATGCAATAGACATGCGTAGAAGGAGGGTCATGCCAACCATTTGCAGAATTGTTGTATGCACTCTCAATAGATGCATGTCTATTAGAGATCAAACAAAGATCTGGTTGAGGAGCCACGTGTGTTTCGAGATTCTTGAGAAAGAAGCTCCAAGCACCATCAGTCTCTCCCCCGACTAGGACAAAGACAATTGGGAAAATGTTGTTGTTGCCATCTTGTGTAACTGCCATCAGTAGCGTGCCTTTGTATTTCCCATACAACCAAGTCCCATCAATTTGAATAATTGGTTTGCAGGACGCAAACCCTGTGATGCAAGGTTGAAAATCCCAGAACACTCGACTGAATATTCCATTTCCGGTGACTTGACTACCATTTGGGGCGTACGCTGACAGTGTTTCCATAATGTAAACAGTATCCGGAGAATAAGTCTGAAGTGAATTCAGGTAGCGAGGAAGTTCTTTGTATGACTCCTCCCAGTTTCCATATACCTTTTCAATCTCCTAGGTCTTTTCTAACCACGCCTTTTGGTATGACAGAGTATAGTTAAATACCATAGTGATATGAGAGATTATGGTTTTCACCTTCAATGATGGATCGTTGCTGACGAGGGGTATGATTTCTTGACATATGAGATCATAATTTAGTTTTCGATGATCCTGTAATTGAGTAGAATTGACACACGTGTGGGTGGACATATAACCTATGTCCCAATAATCACTTCTTAATCTGTATGATGCAGTGAGCTTGAACATACAATCTGGGTGGATACACTTGATCTTGTACCTTTCTGGATTTACACGATCTACCTTAAAATCGACCGAGTTGAGCATGTGAAACTTTTTTATGGCTCAGATACATTCTTCTCTATTACGAAATTTGTCTTTCTCTTTTAAGTTTTCATCCGACTGCATATACGGATTGAACAATAAATTAGATTACGGTTCATCTCCGCCCATGTTAAAGTTTGTCATATGTGGAAGTGGTGTGTAGATCTTGTCCGAAGGTATACCAGGTGTTGTACCCCAAAATTTTCCCTCCCATATTTCTCAAAACATTGCAAGAAAGATCTCCAAGTTGCTCAAGATAGCTCAAGGGTTGGTCAGACAAGCTCTCTCCTAAGACAGTCTACCCCAAATTAGGGTTTCATGTTACATCAAGATACTTGAGTCCAAGTGGTCCCAAATGCTCACCAATGTACTAATATATTCTCAAGATCATCCATGCCAAATTTCAAGCCTTACAGAGGAAGTTTGCTCAGTCAATTGCTCAAAGGTCCAAAAATCGACTGTGCCAGGGCAAAAGTCAACTGTGACCCAAATACAGTCAAACTTTAATATTTTTTGTCAACATTCTCATTTTGAAGTATATTTCATCATTTGATCAAGGTTTGATCACGATTCATCAAGGATTGCTCATAATTCATCAAGATTCAAAAGTTGCTAAATTAGGGTTTTGCAGGAAAAGTCAACTCAACTTTGACCAAGCATAACTTTATCATACTTTATGAGAAATGACCCATCCAAAGCTCATTTTTAAGAGGATACAATTCCCTACAATCCATCTTCATCTCCCAAGATCAGAATATGCATTCACAAGAAGTTATGAATTTGGACATTATAGGTCATTTTGAAAAGTCAACAAAAACACCTTTTTTTTGTCAAAGCTTCATACATGAGCATGGAATATCAAAATGAGATGATACCAAAAGGGTTGCTTAGAGGACATCTCAATCTTCCTAAAAAGTCCAAGAACACATCCAAAGGTTCAAAATTGAGGAAGTTATGCATTGGTGAAGTTGACCTTTTTTGTAAAATTGCCAAAAGTCAACTATGCCCAAAACATCAAATTTTGCCAAATGGGCCCAATCTTTTTCACTTGTTTTGAGTTGGCAACATATCCCACGTGCTCTAGCCATTGCCACTTGTCCATATCTTATTTTTATTATTTATTTTGATTTTTATTTGAATTAATTTAAATTAAATTATAATAAATCAAATAAAATCCAAAACATTGATAACAAGGGATTTTGTGTTTGTTTCAGGCTTCATTGAACAGCTAGCTTCATTCCAAATTCTCATAATGCATAGAGTGGACAAAAATATTGAAAAGACCAATTTTGGAAAGCTTTAAAGAAGCAAATCAAATCAAATCAAAAGGCATTGAAAGAAGAAGATTTGGATGCAATTTGCAACCCTAATCCCTTCACTAATACATAAGGAGTGTGTGCAGATCAAAGGCAAGGTTGGAAAGGGGCTCTAGAATAGAAACCAGATTTGAGAAAAAAGCAAAAAAAGTGTGAGATCAAAATCCCACTTAGAGGCATCCTCAAGGCTCGACACCTCTCCCAATCGCTTCCTGGCACTCTCAGGAACCTAAAGCTATCAAGAACAAGCCCGTTCTGGTCCCTAAACGCGTTGGTTTCGGATTTGGTTTTAGGGTTTTTGTTTTCAGGGACAATTGGCCTTGGTAATGGGTACCACTGTGTTCAGAGGAAGGAGACGGTTCTAACCATGGCCTTGG